CCATAGCCAATCAGACACTAGGACCTTTGGATTTGTATTTTTCAATTATCTCTCAAATCTGTGTCTATTCCCATGACCACTGCCTTAGTTCAGGGCTTATCTCTCACCTGGCTTTCGGTGATAGCTTCCAAGCCACCTCTTGGTCTCCAGCCTCTCCAAATGCCACCCCCTCTCCCTCCTACCAAGCTACCCTCCACATTCTGCACTTAAGTTCATGTTAGGGAGCTAAGAGAGAGGGATAATGTTTATTGTGTAGATACTAGATGCTAGGCTCTGTGCCAGTATATTTACATGCATCATCTCATTCAGTTTCGCAACAATCCTATTTTACAGATGTGGACACTGAAGCTTAGGTTAAGTCATTTGCTCAAAATTACACAGCTGGTCAGCTTGAGAAATGGAATCTGAATCCAAGTCTGACTCTAATTACCAAGTTGGTTTTTTCCCCTGCAGTCCTATATTGTCCCTTTGATTTGTCCTTTAAAAAACTAAGACCATCACTTTCAGGTATAAGGTCCCTTCAAGGCTTCCTATCACATGGCAATTGATGTCCTTTATAATCTGTTTGCTTTTTATTCAACATTATCACTCCATCACCTTATATGCCGCCTCTGCCTACATACCAAGCTCTGCAGTTTCCAGTACACTTCTGTGAATCCTTTCTGCCCTTTGGACTTAAACACCACCTCCTACATGAAGTCAGTTTGCCCCTTAGAATTAACATTTGTCTCATCTTGGTTGGTTCTATACTGTGTACATACCTATGCTTTTGTACTTATCACACTTTATTTAGTTGTTTTTGTGTCTCTATAATGCTCACTAGAGTATTAGCTCCTTGAAAGAAGAATCCAAATTTTAGTCTTGTTTTTATCCTAGCTCCTAGCAGAATCTGGCCTATAATAGGTATTTAATAAATGTTGGTTGAATTAAAGAATGAGCAAGTCCCATGTTTCTGAATTGCTCCCCTGCCCCCATTCCTTCCTTCCTTAACTTTGGGCAGACTGAGCAAAGGGCTCAGTCAGAGGATTTCCTTGCACTGCTGACTCCCCTTCTCTGTCACATACTTTTGTTCAGTTCCCTGGCCCTCCAGGAAGTTTGGCCCACCAGCTGGCTCAATGTCCACGGTGCACCACCAGGGGGCAGGTGTGATCCGCCTTGGTTCTGGTGTGTGTTTGCTCCTTCCCAGGGCCCTGGAGGCAAGAATAGGGGGTGCATAGGGGATAGGGTGGAGTGGGGGTGGGAGTGTGTGTGTGGGTGTGTGGGGGTGTTGGATGACTCACAGACCCCTGTAGTATAGTGGATGATGTGATGCGCTGCCCAGATTCCCGCTTCGGGACATGGTGCTCATTGTCTTAGCCACTGACTTTTGGCTGCTGATGGCTCACAGATTAATGCTGGCTTCCCTGAGAACTACCTGTGGCTGAAGTGCACTGCCTCACCAAATGCAATGCCCCTTTCCTGGGATAGGACCGGTTGATGTAGGGGTACAAAGGCCTAGCCTCGTGGCCTCATTTTGAAACAACTTTGAAGGTCCATCCCAGCGCCAGAGCTCCTATGGGATCAGCTGAAGCCTCTTCTGTTGCAACTGCAACGCATTTCGACTTTTCCCTCTGCCGTTCTGCTTCTCTGACGCCCTTTGAAATTCTTCCCCAATAAACCACCTATACACAAGTTTCCATCTCTGAAACTTGTTTTCAGTTTAAGATAACCCCCAAACTCAACTTGGATACTGCGCTAGTCTCCTTATCTGACTCTGATTCTGTTTTTGCCCTCCACACTAAATCCAAAGTGATCTTTGCAAATACAATCTGATCACATCACATCCCTGCTGGAAATCCTTCAGTAGCTTCTCACTGCTCTTAGAATAAAGCCCACACCCTAAACTTGGCCTACAAGGCTCTGCATGATATGGATTCTGCGGACTTCTCCACTCTCACCTATCACCATTCTTCCCACCTTTCCTGGTGTCTACTCTTAGGCTCCATTGATCTTTTTTCAGTTTCGTGAACATGTCCACCACTTTCCTGCCCAGAGCCTTTGCATATATTGTTCCTGTAGCTTGCAATCCCGGCCGTGACACCTCCAGGCATGGTCACTTCTTACTCGCCTGACCTGTCTCAGTTTAATGTGACTTCCTTAGGCAGGCTGTCCCCACCATGCCACCCCCACACATCCCCCACATTAGATTAGGTCTTCATGAAATAAAATCTCATAGCACCCCACCTTTCTCTTTCATAGCAATCATCTGTTACAATGGTTTGTTTTCAGGTAGGCCCATTCCTAACATATGTAGGGCCTATGGCAAGAGTACAGATAGAGGCTCACAAACCTTGTGTTTAAATATTTAAAATGTGTAACTCAAGCTAACAAACTTAAATATGTTCTATTCTTATACCTTGATAAATATATACATAATGGTCAAGAATTTGGTTCAAATTTGGGCTCAGATTTGGATTTTGCTTGGAATCCTCAGGATTCCACAGAAGAATGTGGTGATGTGAGGAGAGGCAGCTTTCTGCCACTGGCCCTTGGGCCTGCTTCTTTTTCCATCCCGATACCATCTTGTACTCCAAGGGGCCGCATGTGCATTCATATGGACCTCTCTATCTACACATCCCAATTCTGCCCACAGCCTCCTGCAAACAGCTACCCCTTGGCCACCATTGGGTGTAGGGATGTGTGCATGGGTCATGTGATCTATCCTTGGGAGGGCAAACCCAGGGAAGAGGTCCATGTAGGCCCAAGAAGTGGTCTTGGAGTTCTTTGGGCAGGGAATTCCTAAGTATCTGGAGTATGATCCAGAAAGTGATTGGAGGTGTGGGCAGAGGAGGCCTGGACTCCTCACTCCACGGGACAGAGCAAGAAGAGGGCCAGAGTGGAGCTTTTCAAAGCATAGGGCCCAGACCAGGGGCCACCAATTCACTGATGTTTCTATTTCATCAGTCTATAAGGTCCACAAAGACAGGGCTGGTATCACTCTGATTTACTGAGGTGTCCCTAATGCCTAGCACAGTGCCTGGGGCAGAGTAGATGTTTAATAAGTATTCATCAAATGAATGTACGAGGTAGACCAGGAAGAGGTTTGAAGATTTGGATCCATTATTGATGATCTAGATACCAAAATCCAGAACTAGGAATGAAAGCGAATCTTAGAGGGCTCCAAAAATGGATGCAGCAAAGAGAAGAGAATGACAGCGTCCTGGATTACTGACTCTATCTCCTCTCCTCTCCTTCCTCTTTGCTCCCTACTCTACCACTCCAGGCCCTTTGCCTACTTGGCCTTCTTTCTCCATGGTCCAGCATCGCTCTGTCCATATCTTTCTACCTTTTTATCCTTTGGCCACTGCTCTTTCTCTGTGACCTGACCATCTATCTGTCTATTCCTCTGTATTTGTTTTCAATTCTTGGTACTCAATCTTACTTTCCTTTTTTTTTTTAAATTTCTTTTTTTATAAATTTCTTCTACCACTTTTGCTCTTCTAGTCCTTTGCTCCTATCACCTCTCTTGTTACTCTTACTCCATTTTTAGTTCCCTCCCAGAGCCTTCCTCTCTATTTTAGTTCCCCGTGGGACCTTTGGCCAACTCTTTCCCAGACGTCCCTCATTTCCTTAAGTCCAAATCCCGGGGAGCCCCTGCCCTGTATTCCAGGTCTGTACCTACTGCCTCCTTAGCTAAGTCTTTCTGCTTCCCTTCCCCTGTTCTGTCATTCCTACAGTCTACCTGGCTTCATCTTTTTCATCCCCTTTTCTCTGTCCCCAGGTGTCCTTGAGCCAGTCAGTCTCAGCATTCATCCCCTCCCTCCCCACAGAAGACCCATTAACCATCATTGGGTCCCCGGTGGCCGTTGGCAGTCTCTCCTCTCTGTGCCGTTCGTCCTTTCCCTTGGCCCAGACCTCAGTCCCCAGACTCCTTTCCCTCCCTGATCAGTGGCCCCTGGTCTGAGCCCCTAGTGGCTCAACTTGCCTGAGCTTGTTTAGTCTGACTCCTTTAGCCAGTTAGCAGCTTAGCCCTCCCACCTCTCTTTTGAGTCCTTCAGTAAACAAGAGGATCAGTGCAGACCTGACAGCTGCTGGGGTGGGGAGTGTGTGGGAGGTGGGGGTGGGGGGCGCAACTGTCTGGCCAGGGACCAGGCATGAAAAAAGGGCTGTGTTCAACACTTCCGATTCCTTATTCAACTAGGGAAATTCTGGGGTCTCTTTCCTGGCTATCTGCCATATAGCTACATTCCACAGGCATGTGTGTGGGGTTCCCTGTCTACATTATCCTCATTCCCATTTCGTGGCTTTGTTTCCAGGCCTTGGGCTTCTTGGTTCTACAAAAACAGCACTAGATCAAGGCAATTACACTGAGAAACACTTCTTGAATAATGATAATGGTCTCTGCTCCACAAAATGGAGGTTAGGTTCAGGAAGAGAGAGATGTTATCTGATCTAGGTCTTCTAATATGTATGTAGAGAACATGGCAGGAGATACCATACACAAACACACACCAAGGGAAGCTGAGTTGACTGTAGGCATTCTGTAGACCAGTGGTTTATCAAAATTGCCTTGGAGGGCTTATTAAAACACAGATTCCCGCCACCCAGACCGCCACCTCCACCCCTACCCACTCCCATCCCTGGAGTTTCTGATTCAATAGATTTGAGGTGAGTCCACAGAATTTGCATTTCTAACAAGTTCCCAGGTGATGCTGCTGGTCTGGGGACCACAGTTTGAGAACCACTGTCTTAGATTATATGACTCCCACTTTTTTCACCCAACACCTAAGGCTGGGACCAGGTTAATTTTTATAACTGACGATCCTTGGGGTTGATGAACACCTAGGTTTCTCTCTGGGTTGGGAAAGAGGACCTATTAACCCCATGGGAGGCCTTGGGTGTCCTCAGAAGGTAGAGAAGAGCCTTTAATTCTTGGGAGTTCTATTCTCGTACAGACTCTATTTAAACAGCTTCAGACAGGTTTAAACATCTTCTTGGCTAATTCCTAGTGTCCCTGTTCCAACTTCTACTTGGGGATGATAGCTCTAAGAGGTGTTAGGGGATTAGGCTGAAAATGTAGGTCACCCCTCAGCCATCTGGGAATCAAAAGAGTGAGAGAGGAAGAGAGAGGGAGAGAGACACACATAGGGAAAAGATGAGAGAAAGCAGAGGGCACATGAGGGCAGTTTCAAAAGTCTCTGATGGATTGATGGTGATTAGATTTCAGTGTCCCATGGTGTCCTGGAAGGAAGAAGCAGAATTTCTCATTTTCCCTTCTCTAGCTCCTCCTAAGCTGGGCTGTCTGCCCTTGGGGAGGGTGGCTTCTCTCTGATGTGATAGCTATGAGGGTCATGAGGCTAGATATAGGGGGAGTGAGACAGGGGCAGACATGTGAGGATTCCTGAAAATAGGAGACACTCAACAAGTGAGAGTGAGTTTGGGAGAGCTTGTACTTCCCCAAAAGACAGAATTGCAGGGCCTTAGAGGGTGAGGGTGCTGGGAGTTTGTTTGGCTCTCTTTTCCAGTCCCATACTTTCAGTCACCGAGGGCTGAGTGTTGTGTTCACACAAGGGTGGTGGTCTGTACTGGGGAGCTGAGCACGTGAGTCAGACCATCGGTGAGGAGCTTTGTTAGGGAAAATGCCCCTTTTCCTTCTTTGAAAACAGGCATAGGTGTCCTTACCTCTTGTTTACCCCAACCCCCAAGCCAATGAGATAGGCAAATGATCCCCTTACCTCATTGGTTGGAGGCCTAAGGACCACAGATGACCTCAGAGAGCTAGCCCTTTAAGAGTGCCCTGTGGGCTCTGTGTCTATAGCACGGGGGCACCAAGCCCTGTTCAATGGGGCTTCCAGTCTCTGGGGAAGCCGTACCTGCCTGGCTCTGACACTGACACTGACAACAACATCTCTGCCAAGCCTTAAGTGAGTATGTCCCAGGCCTACCTGAGTGCCAAGCCTCTAACCTAAAGCCCCCTTCTCCAACACCTACCATCTACTTTCTGTTGTCTGTTTTCAGAAATCTTCACACTTCTGTTGTCTGCCCCACTCCCACCCTGACTGGTTTTATGTCCCTCATTGCTATCACATCAGAAAGATAAACAAGCCTCTTCACTTATCTCTTCATCCAATTCTCTCTGGACACCTCTCTCAGTGTCTCACCATCTTCTCCCTGCCAAAGACTAATTCCTTCAATCTGTGTCTTTGTTCCCATCCCCTCTGTCCTCTCAAAGGTGAGGGGCTCAATAGGTAGGGCAATAAACTTTCTCTGGGACAGAAAGAGAGAGATGCTTTGTCCTTCCTCCCAAATCTCTGGGCAGAGCCTGGGGGTTTGAGATGTGGTTGGAAAGAGGGCTACTTAGGCTTGGGGCATCAAGATGGAGCCAAACTCTAAGCTCTGGGAATGAGGATTCCGTGCTTTGACTCTTCAGGGGTTGGGGGTACTGCTGCTGGAACTGGGAGCTGAGCTAGGGCTTGGGACTTCCAGGCTTGGAAGACTCCCCAAGGTCATCTAGCCAGAGGTTGCTCAGGTGAGCACATGCTCCATGGTTGATAACAGGGAGGAGAGTTCCTTGGTGACATAAGTTTGGGACACTCTGTGTTGAGCTGAACAGATGGTTTACTGAAGGACTTCTCAGATTGATATGCTGCTGTACTTTGTGAATGTGCAAAAGGTGGGGATGGCAGGCAGCATTTCTCAAAGTTATCTGAGCACAGACCTCTTCTTGGGTATTTCTCAGCCTTAGTGTTTCACAGAACACTCTTTGGGAAATGTTCAAGTCTAACTGCTTTCATTGAACAGAAGGGGAAACTGGGGTGTGAAAGGGGAAGGTGATCTGGTCAAGGGGGTTTTGAATAGAAGGAAGAAAAGCAATCTTGGTTGGTTCCCCCTGGAGAGATTGGCCTTGGGGAAAGATGGTCACTACTCAGTCTTGATCTTTATAGAACTGATTCTAGGACCTTTCTTTTTTCCTTGGAAAGTCTCTCAGTCTCATAAGAGGGATTCGTTGATTCATAAATCAATAGAACAGATGTGCATGAAGAGTCTTCTATGTACAAGGCATTGGCCTGGATGCTCTGAGGGAGGTATAATAGCACGTACATTATCCTTATGTATTAAAATTCACAGCATACGTGCCTTCCCATTGTCCTAAAATATACACATATTCTGTCACAGTTAATTAAGCAAAAGTTTTTAATTGCTTGGAAATGGAATGATGCCTCTTGAGATGACAGAGCAGCTCAGCATGTCCCAGCACTAGAGTTGGAGCACTGCCATATTCCTCTTGTTTTTCAGAGATCTCAACGGCACCAGTGGGGCCAGAGGCTGTGCTAGCCTCTTCCTCCATTAGGCCTTTAAGCTGCTTGCCCCTGCTCAGGAGCCCCCACCACCTGAAAAGTTGGCCCCTATCCCAGAGGTGACTATGCAGGGAGCAGGGCTGCACCATCACCCCAGCTTTCCAGAATTCGGTCTCCTTGGGCTTTGGGGGAGCAGGTTTTGGTGAAGGAGGCTGGCAGGCAGCCTTTAGGTGCTCCAAACAGCTCCTCTTTTTTGCAGGTGTGCCCCTCTCAATCCAGCCCCAGAATGGCGCTGCCTCCTAGCCCCCTGGCCATGGACTATGTCAATGACTTTGACTTGATGAAGTTTGAGGTAAAGCGAGAACCTTCTGAGGGGCGATCTGGCCCCTCCACAGCCTCACTGGGCTCCACACCCTACAGCTCAGTGCCTCCTTCACCCACTTTCAGTGAGCCAGGCATGGTGGGGGCCACTGAGGGGCCCCGCCCAGGCCTGGAAGACCTGTATTGGCTGGCTACCCTGCAGCAGCAGCTGGGAGCTGGGGAGACGCTGGGGCTGAGTCCCGAGGAGGCCGTGGAGCTGCTACAGGGTCAGGGCCCAGTCTCTGTTGAGGGGCCCCATAGCTACTATCCAGGGAACCCAGAGGACACAGGAACCCAGCATGCCCAGGTGAGTGATTAGTGAGCTGGTCTGAGGGGAGGCAGAGTGAGGGAGGAAGGAGAGTTCCTGAACTGGGAAAGAGACAGAGGGCCTGAGAAGGGAAGAAAGGCCCTTGAAAGAAATCAGATCGAGGAAACTACGTTCTGCTCCCTCCCTTTTTTTTTTCAAAACGAAGAAAAATGAATAGGCTGAACCAGGAGGGAGAGGCAGAAAGTAAGGTTAGAAGAGGACAGAAAGGGGAGAGCTGAAAATTAAAGGGCATTGCAGAGCAGGCGATTACGGAAGATACATATACACCGTTCGTGGGAACCAAGGAAAGGGTTGTGCGTGGAATGCGGCAGAGTTAAGACTATGGGAACGGGAATGAGGTTGGCCTTTTCAAGATTTCGTGCTTCCCCAGCCTCCAACCTTCTCGGACAGGATTGGGACTCATCCTATTAATTATAGACACAGATGGGGCTATTGAGGGCATTATGATGTAATCCAAATCCTTTGAGGGTCACAGGGTTGGGGCCTTCAGCACTGGGGAGCTAGGTGTGTTGGAGGGGCGGGGTGTAACTGGGTGCGAGTCGACTGGACACACGAGTAAGCCTGGAGCCGGATGGATGCTAAGGACCTCTCAGGGGTGGTGCGGGGTTCAGGAGCTCGATTGTCTTGACTGACAGTGGGAGGCGCGGCCTGCAGCGCGGTACAGGCCCAAAAGGGCACGAGTCCCTTAGCAAGGAAGAACCCATTGGGCCCAGGAACATTGGTACCTGCGGCGGGGTCTGGATTACGAGATAGATTCAGTGGAAGGACGGGCATTCAGGTAAAGGCGGGAGCAGGGGGCGGGGCCTTCTGGGGGCGGGGCCAGTCTGACTTCCCGACCTGAGTGCGGAGCCCTGCGGGGTCCCGCGCCGACTCGGTCTCTGCCGGTTTCCTCTGCAGCTAGCCGAGCGGTTTTCTGACGCGGCGCTGGTGTCGATGTCTGTGCGGGAGCTAAACCGACAGCTGCGGGGCTGCGGGCGCGACGAGGCACTGCGGCTGAAGCAGAGGCGCCGCACGCTGAAGAACCGCGGGTACGCGCAGGCCTGTCGCTCCAAGCGGCTGCAGCAACGGCGTGGGCTGGAGGCCGAACGCGCCCGCCTGGCAGCCCAGCTGGACGCGCTGCGGGCGGAGGTGACCCGCCTGGCCAGGGAGCGCGACCTCTACAAGGCTCGCTGTGACCGGCTGGCCTCCAGCGGCCCCGAGTCCGGGGACCACGCCCACTTCTTCCTCTGACCTGCTGGGGGCCGCGGAGTGGTGGACTAAGTGGGTGGGGGGCACCACCCAGGAAGCGGCTGTACCATTCACTAGATGTTTACTGAGCGCCTTCTGGTGCCAGACACTCCGTTGTACGATCACACCAATATTCGCAAACTTCCTGGACCCTTAAGGCATGCTCTGAGGTTAAATGCTGGTCATTTTCTGAGAGAGGGGTCCTCCTCCCCTCATGCAGGCCGTGCTCAGGAACCCCCCACTTTCTGCCCCACCCCACATGACCAGGAAACTGAGATCTACAGGAGCCAGTGTCAGGCAGTGTGTGTGTGTGTGTGTGTGTGTGTGTGTGTGTGTGTGTGTGTGTCGGAGGTGGGGTCGGGGCGTGGATAATGGCTGTCCATGACACAGTAAATGGGAGGTGTGGGAGTGACGCAGCTCCCCTTCAGTTTAGATTTTAATTTAAGGTTTTCAACCTGTAGTGCATTGGGCGGTAATTAGCGATCATTGCTGTATTTTTGTTTTGCAGCTGGTAACATCCCCATTCAGGACCACTGCGTTTTCAATTTTTCGATTTCCAGTAGCAAGACAGACTAGGAACTCTATCCAATAGGCTTTCTTCCTACCTAACCCAGTGGCCTCCAGGGCCCAGAGAAGCCAAGGCAGGAGGAGCTCTGGGGTGGTTGGTGTGAGAGACTCCCGGACAGGAGTCTGGAGACCTGGGTGCTAGTCCCAGCTCTGCCACAGGATACCTCTGCACCTTGAACAAATCACTTGCTCCCTGGATCTCAGTTACCTCATCTAATCTTCATTTGGATTGGATGACTTCTGACACCTTTCCAGTTATGGCATTTCCTTAATGTGGTAGTCCAGTGATCTCCCCAAGACAATCTCACCAAAGGGACTTTCTGTCCTGCTCCACATTCCTGGCTACAGCCTACGCGGTGGATGAGCCCATGCACTGGTCATCTGCTGCTCCCTCCAGGCTGCCTTGACCTACAGACCTGCATAAGGTGCCCCTGCTACCTCCTGCCTCTCTGAGGGCTGAAGTGAGACTTTCCCCAGCATGTAAAATAGCTGACAGAATGCAGCTTTTCTGAATTAAACTTGAAGTCCAGGCAAAACTTCATGCTATTGGCTAAATGCTCTTGCAATTTAAGAAGTGTTCATTCTTTATCCTTGTTCCAGGCGTGTGTGTGTGTGTGTGTGTGTGTGTGTGTGTGTG